ATATGTGATAGAAAGTACACTTTCGGAAGAAATAAATTAAAATAAGAAAAAAAAAAAAAACTAAGAAATAATTCATTTGCAGAGGTACCTTATTTAAGTATTATACAATGCATCCATGTGCAAAGCAGTGGTGTTTGTTTATCCATGAAAAAAGCACGCCGGTAAAGTTTGCCTTACCAGGAAAAGGTGACGTATCTAGCTTATGACGTATGCATGCTAACTAATGTGAGTGTGACGCCACCAAAAAATGAATATTTTCTATTATAACCAAAATATTAATAACTACAAAGTTTCTGGGCGTAAATTCCCTTAATATGAATGAAGGGTTGCTCAATCTCCTTGCCATACAAATTACAGCTCCCACTGANNNNCGTCTCAGTCGAGAAATACGGGTAGCTGAAGTTTTTCTCGCAAATCTGACTACAAAACCATATCCAAATTTCACGTTCCACTTTTGACCCTGAGTTGTGCTTCGCACTCGCCGCTGAGGGCGGCATTCCGGGAACCCTGCGTCCAGCAAATGCACAGAAGAGGGCGTATCTTATCTTTGACTAGTTTGACCACGTGAGATAATAATGCTTTATAATCGTGACATCAGACACGTTAAAAGAATAAAAAGAACTCGGATTCTACCGAACGCTCAAATCACAACAATGCCATCGCCGTCAAGTGGTTATGATATTCGCGCAGAGCCCGAAGGGGGAGGTGTCCCCCTCGGACGGTGTGGAAAATTTTTGAAATGACATTGTAAAGATGCAAAATTTAAGCATACAATTACTATATAAACTACAATTTTAGAGCCTTTATTTACATGTTAACATCAGTGATTTTACATAGTTACACGGATGAAAGATGTTTCCTTATTTAATTAATGGAGCAGGCCGCATTGAACTGTCAATTTTATTAGCAAGAAGGGGGAAATAACCTTGGCCTAGATGGCTGATTTTTACATTTTTCTTGCTAAGGAAATTCTAGGGGGGGGGGTAATTGCCCCTTTTACACCCCCTGGATCCGGCACTGGTAAGAATATAATAAATTGGATAAAATTTTATATAAGGACATTGTAAGTTGTGTTATAAACAATGGGATAACTTCTGAATTCTTTAAATTAAAAAGGGGTATTTACCAAGGATATCCTCTATCCCCATATCTATTTATAATTTGTGCAGAAGAACTAGGCGACATAGTCCGTCAAGACACATTTAAAGGAACAGAATATAATAATGTAATAATAGACATACGGATAAGTCGGTTGCAGTTGACACTGATTTCTTTCTCTCAAAGATCAAAGCTCAATTAAACCGATTATAGATATACTTGATGAATTTCTGTATACTCAGGAATAAATTCTGAAAAAAGTAATATTATGAGAATAAGATCCTTAAAAAACAGTAACTATAAAACCGCAGCGGAAAAAAATATTTTATGGATAAAAGGCCCAGTAAAATATTTAGTGGTAAGTATTTCATGTGATTTAAACGATATTTTCAAACTCAATTTTCTAGACAAAGCAAGAGAAGCTGAACAAAATATTAAATATGTGGAAACTTAAAAAAGCAACGATTTTAAAATCATTGTTTCTCCTGATATTTACGTATTTGTTTTCAAACTTACCAGACCCACCCGATTATTTTCTTCAAGATATTCAAAGTAAAATATTTAAATATATATGGAATGGAAAATAAAGTCAAAAGAAAAGTCATGTTTAACATGTTTGACGAAGGAGGTTTAAATATTCCTCATATTCAAAGTTATTGTAAATCCATGAAATCATGCTGGGTAAAAAGATATCTTGATGGAATTCACTCCAAGTGGAATGTGTTGTTTAAAAATAAGATTGAAAAAGTTAGAAAAAACATTGTATTTGAAACTAACTTCTCTAACAATTAAAAACTGTTGAAACAGTTTGAGGCGTTCTATGAAGACATTCTTTTTGCATGGAGTGAATACAACTTTGATGAACCCAGTACAGTCTTTATGGAACAACTCATGTTTGAATAAAAGAGAATTTAAACTTGAAAACAGCTGGTTGGTTAATAAAGTAAACCATATAAGAAATATTGTTAAAGAAGGTAAAATATTAGAACTAGATGAATTTAAGCAAATGCAAAATTTTAAATCTAACTTTTTTATTATATCACCAAATTGTTAATTCAATTCCAAAGCTCTGAAAACAGAAATTGGTGGAACAAAATTTTAACAAAACTGAGGCATTGGAATCTTAATTCCAGAACTGTATTTCGGTAAAAACGAGAAACTGTCATTATATTTATAAGCACATTATATTAAATCATATTCAAAAGCCAATTGGAATGAAATCAAAATGGGAAAACGAGTTTGAAAAAAAAAATTAGACTGAAAAAATATTTTCTTGAATTTATATACTTGTTCAAACGACACAAAACTGAAGAATTTTCAATTTAAGTTTATTCCTTATATAATTTATACAAATACAATTCTTTTTAAAATGTAAAAGGTGAACTCATCGATGTGTTATATTTGTAATGAGAAGAAGGAAACGCTATTGCATATGTTTATTTAATGTGATGTAGTAAAGAAAATATGAGAAAAACTAAAATATATATATATCGAAATATTAATATCAATTTAAAAGTTTCTAATAAAGCATATGTTTTGGGTTTGATGAATCACACAAAGAATCAACCTGTTTTATTATTATTACAAAATGGTACATTTTTCGCTGTTAAGTTAACAAGCAATTTCTCAATTTAAATCATTTAATTCATAGTTACCAAAAATACAAAGACACTTGTAGATTAACGAAACTTTATAGTTGAAAGATACATTTTTAGTTAAGAAGCAATTACTCAATTATATTTATTTATCCTTTTTATTT